TGACATCGGGGTGCTGGGATGTGACATCGGGGTGCTGGGATGTGACACTGGGGTGCTGGGATGGGACATTGGGGTGCTGGGATGTGACATCATGGTGCTGGGATGTGACACTGGGGTGCTGGGATGTGACACTGGGGTGCTGGGATGTGACATCGGGGTGCTGGGATGTGAGATCAGGGTGCTGGGATGTGACACTGGGGTGCTGGGGATCCGCAGCAGGGTCCTGACCTCGGTGGGGCAGATGCCACGGTCGGGGTGCCCCTGCAGTTCCCAGCAGCAGGAGAAGCCCCTTTCCCCGTGCCAGGGCCGTGGTGCCGGTGCCACGCTCAGAGGGTTTTTGCTGGGAGGGTTTTTGCTGGGAGGGTTTTTGCTGGGAGGGTTTTTGCTCAGAGGGTTTTTGCTCAGAGGGGTTTTGCTGGGAGGGTTTTTGCTCAGAGGGTTTTTGCTGGGAGGGTTTTTGCTCAGAGGGGTTTTGCTGGGAGGGTTTTTGCTGGGAGGGTTTTTGCTGGGAGGGTTTTTGCTCAGAGGGTTTTTGCCGCGGCTCCAGCGGCAGCCCGGCGGGGGGCAGCTCCTCTCCGCAGTCTCCTTGGAGACCGCGACCGCTCTGCAAAGAGATCCCGCTCCTCCCAGCAGCGCCGGGGGGAGCAGGTCTCCCCCAGGACCACCCCACGCAGCCCCCCCCGTGCCCACGTGCCGCCTGGCTCGTGGCAGCTCCATCCCCACGGTACTGACACCAGAGGAACAGCGGGAAGAGGCTCATCTGGGAAGTTATCACTGATTCAGCGTGGACGAAACAAGGTGGCATCCTTGGAGGGAGGAATTTCCAAATCCCTGTTCCCACAGCACGCCGGGGTCACCCCGGGAGCTGCAGCCACGGTGCCGTCACCCACCGGCAGGGCCAGGCCAGCCCTGAGCTGGTGGTGCCATCTGGGATGGGAAAGAGCCCCGGAAAAGGCGGGTTTGGCACAATCCTGGCACAAGCCCCCTTGTGCACGTGGGCAGGAGCCTCCTCGGCATCTCCAGAGGTGTTGGAGAAGGAGGAGGGTTGTGCCAGGAACAAGGTGGGTGCTCGGCCGGGTCCTGCAGCTCTGAGCACATCAGCTACTGGGGGGAAGGAATAACAGAGGGAAGGCGGCACCACGGAGAGAAATCCTGCCCTGAGAGCCCCTGGATGGACCCAGATCAGCTGTCACCAGGCAGTGCCCGGTTCCTGTGCCCACACCACTGCCCACAGCCCTGGCCACAGGTACCAGCGGCTCCAGAAAGGCACACAGGGATCACAGCCACATCCCAGCTCCTGGCACAGCACAGGAGCTCTGAGCAGGGTCAAGGGGACTCAGTGTGTGACACAGGGATCAAACCCTCAACCCAGCTCCTGCCACAGCCCCGGAGCTCTGAGTGGGTTCAGGGGACTCAGTGTGTGACACAGGGATCAAACCCTCATCCCAGCTCCTGGCACACTCAAGGAGACTCAGTGTGTGGCACGGGGATCAGAGCCACATTCCAGCTCCCAGCACAGCACAGGAGCTGTGAAGGGGACTCAGCGTGTGGCACAGGGATCAAACCCTCGTCCCAGCTCCTGGCACAGCGCAGTTCTGAGCAGGGTCAAGGGGACTCAACGTGCCCCAGCCAAGCTTATCCCGGCCCTTTCATGTCGCTGCCGAGCGCGTGGCTCTGGATCCAACAGCGCCGGCTTGAGAGAGGCTCAAACCAAGCCCAGCAGAGACCAAACTGTGCAGGAACAATGCAGCCTTTTCCAAACACTTCAGTGCCCACAAAGAATCCGTCAGATCCTCACGCTGCAGGTCACTGCCAGTCAGCCCCCTCGAGCCAGAGGACAGATCACGGTCACGGATGTCGGTGATCGCTGCGGTGCTGGGGGTGGGCACAGCCCTCTCCCCATGGCCCTCTCCCCACGGCCCCCTCCCCACAGCCCCATAGCCTCAGCCCCCTCCCCACTCGCGTCCCCACGAGTGTCACCTGTGCGCTGTCCCCCTCCAGCCGCGGGGGTCGGATGCTGGACAGGTGGATGGTTTTGTGGTCCCCAGAGTTGAGCTTCACCACGATGGCGTCGGCGTTCAGCACCTGCATCACCTGGGGACGGAGGGGGGTCGTGGTGAGCGCCAGGACCGCGGCACACCCAGAGCCAGGCACCGCCCTGGCACCGGCTCTGGCACCTGACCCACCCCGGCTGGACCCCCGGCACAGAGTGAGTGGTTCCAACCCTGTCCCGGGTGCTGGGGGGGTCACTGCAGGGAACGTGGCTCACTGGCACTCCCGTGGTGCTGCTCTCCTGGCTCAGGAGCTCAGCACTGCCCAGAGCCCTGCCAGGTCCCTGCGTGGTGACACCGTGTCACACCAGCACGGCACCAGCTCTGTGTGTGTCCCCTGCCAGGACTCGGTCCCCAGGGTTCCATTCCAGAAGCACCATCGGCTCCATACCGGACAATGGACAACACACGTGGAGGAGGGAGGGAGCACAGCCCCTGGGGGGGACTCTGCCACCCATGGCCTGGCTGCCGGGTCCCCAAATGGTCAGAGAGTAAATTCATTATAGTCATAAAAACCATGGAATCCTAGAATGGTTTGGGTGGGAAGGAACCTTAAAACCTCACCTAATTCCACCATCTGCCATGGGCAGGGACACCTTCCACTAGCCCAGGTTGCTCCAAGCCCCATCCAGCCTGGCCTTGGACACTTCCAGGGATCCAGGGGTGCAGGCACTGCTGCTCTGGGTAACCTGGGCCAGGGCCTGCCCACCCTCCCAGCCAGGAATTAGGCACTGGAAGGGGCTCTCAGGTCTCCCTGGAGGCTTCTCTCCAGGCTGGACACTCGTAGCCTGGTTCCAGAGCAGAGGAGGCTGAGGCAGGCAGGAGGAAGGCAGTGGGGCTCACTGGGAATATTAAACACTGCTTTAATATTCCCAGTTTCCATTATCCTCTGCTCTCCAGCCTGGCTGAGTGGAGCCAGCACAGCAGGACAAAGCACCCGGATATTCCCACTGGCAGGACACGGTCCTTTCCCCTGCCCAGTCCCAGCACAACCCGACTCCCTCCAGTCACACCAGGGCAAAAGGCTCCTGCTGTGGCTCATCCACGTGATCCCAGCCCCACACATCCCCCTGGAATGGGGGGAAGCGGAGGGAGGAGGGCACAGACTTGCTTCACACGCAGCACTTTTTGCCCCAACGAGCACATCAGCCCCTCCAAACGTGCTTTGCCAGAGGGAAAACAGGACTAAAGGAATTCAGATTCGAGCAGACACTGCGGATCACCAGGGCACAGCAAAACCCCCGGGGACGGCCCTGCCACGGTCTCGGCCTCTCCCGGCACCCAGATCCTTGATTTTTCCTCGGCAGAAGGAGCCCAAAGCCGTTTTCCTGCCAAGTGGAGTAATCAAATCTCATGCTCCAGGGCATCCCCAGCGCTGCCGGCGCGAGGAGGGACCCGGCCTCTCTCCCTTCCCTCACACAAGACTTGGGAAAAGCAAGATGTGCAGCTGAGGCGTCACGGTCGGGGCCGCTGCGGGGGCACATCCCGCGCTCCATTACACAGCCCCCGGCCCCGCTCACAGCTCCTTTGGGGGCGGGCAGGAGGCGGCAGCTCCCGGCACCGCGGCCCCGGCACAGCCCGGCATCCGTGAGGGAACAGCAGCGGGAACACTGCCTGAGACCCTCCGGCCCCCGGCACAGCCCGGCATCCCTGCGGGAACAGCAGCGGGCACTGCCTGAGCCCCTCCGGCCCCCGGCGGCCCCTCCCCGGCAGGATGAACTCGCAGGACCCCGCGCAGGGATGACCCGGCTGTGATGGGGCTCTGCAGGACACGGGATGCAGCAGGACAAGGGATGCAGCAGGACCAGAGATGCAGCAGGACAAGGGATGCAGCAGGACCAGAGACACAGCAGGACAAGGGGTGCAGCAGGACATGGGATGCAGTAGGACAATGGGTGCAGCAGGACCAGAGACACAGCAGGACAAGGGGTGCAGCAGGACAAGGGATGCAGCAGGACAAGGGGTGCAGCAGGAGAAGGGATGCAGCAGGACAAGGGATGCAGCAGGACCAGAGATGCAGCAGGACACGGGGTGCAGCAGGACAAGGGGTGCAGCAGGACAAGGGGTGCAGCAGGAGAAGGGATGTAGCAGGACACAGAGTGCAGCAGGACAAGGGGTGCAGCAGGACAAGGGATGCAGCAGGACATGGCAACTGGAGCTGGAGTTCCCAAGGGATGCCAGTCCCAGGCAGGACAGAGCAGGGTGGCAGCAGCTAAGAGAGACCCCTGGGTGTCTCCCCCCTCCTTGGGCACCTGCTCCCTTCCTCTGGGCAGGCACCACAGGGAGGGCAGGAGGTGCCCTGTCACCCCTCCCTGGGGACACCGTGGGCAGGGGGTGACACGGTGACAGCGGCCGCAGGCGACTCAGCCCCGCCCCGGGGGCCATTTGTCTTCCAGCACTTCCCCAGCCCGCTGCATCCAGCCTCCTTTATCCAATATTTATTGTGGTTTCACCTGCCTCCGAGAGGCCCTTTGATAAAGGGATTGGAGGGATTATTTTTTTAAACCTCTGCAGCTGTTTCTTGCAGAGCCGGCACGTTCCGGCGCTGCTTCCCAACCCCGTGGGACACGGCCCTCACCCACGCAGGGAGCAGCGAGGGGAGGCCGGGGGATGCTCCTGAGGGCAGGGGGGCTCTGGCCCCCACTGCCAAACCCCAGCCAGACTGGACCCCCTCATTCCATCACTGTTCCCCACAGAAAGAACGTCACAGCAGTGCCTTGTCCATATTTATCAGGGAAGACGGTTTTTTCCTTACTGCAAGAGTTGATCCCAACAAAGTTTCCAATTTTCCACCCCAGGGCTTTCCTCAGCCCCACTACTGAGGAGCACAGAGGGCAGGAGAGCTGGTATCAGTGCCAGGACACAAAACCCCACCAGTGTGGAGTGCCCTAGGCAGAGGCTGGCACAGACAAGGAGCCAGGAATGGCTCTGGAGCACCGGTTGCTCCAGCTCTGGGAGGAAAGGGAAGGAGAGGAGGAAAAGGGAAGCAGCTCTTCCTCCACAGCACCACGGACAGTGAGGACTGGGAATCCCACCCCACTGGGGGTCTGGCAGCAGGACCAGGCACCCACAAACCCTGGGTGTGCCCTAAAGGTGCAGATGATTCCCAATGCCAATCCCATTCCATAGGAACAGAGATGGACAGACAGACACAGACGAGCAACTTGGCTGCGATTCAGCAACATTGGGGTGCTGAGGTGGGACACTGGGGTGGGACACTGGGGTGCTGGGCATCCACAGAGAGACCCTGGACTCAGTGGAGGCAGAGCCCACATTTAGGGATTCCCTGGAAGTTCTGTGCACAGCTCCCCTGGGAGCTGAGGGGGACAGGGACCCCCGTGCCCATGTCCCAGCTGCCCCCAACTCCCCAGGGCTCCTGCTCCCGGGACAGCACCCCTCTCCTGGGGGAGCACCCTCTCCAGGATGCACAGGGAGCATCCCCAAAGCTGGGAGTGACCTCCCACACCCTGACTGTGGACAACAGGGACAGTGGCACTTTGGGAGCTGGTGCCCAGCTCCGGGAGAGGGGCGAGTGCTGTCCCCCCCTCCCTGCCTCCTGAGGGGTTTTGGCAGGTCTGGAGCTCAGCTCAGCTCAGGAACAGCCCCCGGGCTCGGCCCTGGCAGATCCCACGGAGCTCCGCCATGATTTGGCCACGACCAAGGTTCCAAGCAAAGGGAATCAAAATAAAGCTGAAAGGACACGGGCACAGCTCATCCCAACCCGTCGGAGCCGGCGCGTGGCAGACGGGATGCAGAGCCCGGATGCGGCCGAGGGGCTGCCCAGGGAGCCCCCCCCGGACCCCGAGGGGGCCGATCCTGCCCCGCAGCAGGGAATGGGATGATGCAACCCCCCCGAGCCCCGGCACAAAGCCGTGTTCTAACCAGCCCTGGCAGAGCCTGGCTCTCAGCCTAATGTATTCCACTCTCCGCAGCGCTGTCCCAAATCCCCGCGTGCTCCAAGACAAGCTGACGTAGGGATTTTGGGAGAAAGCCTCCAGCCTCCTCAACATTTTTATGCCTCTGCTTTTCTCCTTGCCACTCACAGGCACCAAATCCACAATCGAGGCCAAGCCTTAATTTCTCCCCAAGCCCACCCCTGCGCTCCCAGTGCCGGCAGCCGACGGCAGCGGCAGCCAAAATTAGCAGGAGCCGATTCGCCGCGGTTGATCAGCGGTGCAAAGACAGGTTGGGATCTTCCTCCTCCTCCTCCTCCTCCCCTCACCAACCCCCTCCAGCAGCTCCTACGTCAGCTCTGCCGCTGCAAACGAGCACCGTCGTGCCGAGCACGGAGGCGGCTTCGGCGCCGGAGCGATTCCTGCCCACCCGCTCCCTGCCCGTCCCCGGGGGCTCAGACCCCTCCACGGGCACGGGGAGGACAGACGGGAGCTCAGGGAGCCCCCGGGGGAAGCCGGGCACGTGCCTGGCTTCGGATTCAGCTCTGGCCCTCGGAGGCGTGTGGGCATTTGTCCTGATTTTCCCCGTCACTTAAAATTCCGGGGAAGGGAAAAACAAACACCCGACCCAAAATTGACACTGCAAACAGCGCGCCCGGGGGGGGCTGCGGCGCCGGCCCCCGGCCCCCTGATTGGCACAGGCCTGCACAGAGCAGGTTTGAACAGAAAGGCGGAGAAACGCCTTGTCTCCTCCCCGAAAAGCAGGACGTGGTGTTCGCTGTGCCGGGGGGGCTCCCACTGCCGAGCCAGGGCAGCCAAACCCCGCTGGAGCGGAACCGGGAGAGCTCCAGACCGGGGGCAGCCCGGCAGAGCGAGGGGCTGTGCCCGGAACTGGGGGGGAAGAATCCTGCCTGCTTCGCTCTGGGACCCACAGCGGGGTCCCCCCTGCACCTCGGGGTTCCCTCTGCTCCCTGGTACCAGGGCTGGATTCCCACCACTCCCAGGGCAAAGGTCACCCTGTGGATTGATTCCCACCACTCCCAGGGGGAGGGTTGCCCCGGGAGTGGATTCCCACTGCTCCAAGGGGGACGTTCCTCCAAAGGGTTGGAGATGCTGCCAAGCTCCAAACCCACCCCAGACACCCCCTTGCCGGGGGTCTCAGGGTGGGACCCTCCCCTCCGCAGCCACCCCAGCCCGCACGAGCCAGCCAACCAAACAACAGGCATCTGGGAAATTCCAGGAGCATCCAGCCGCCCCCTCCACCAGCTGAGCCGAGCGTGACTAACGGCCCCGTGCCGGCTCCTGGCGCGGCTCCGGCGGCAGCCGCTGCCAGCGGTGGGATGGCGCTTCCCGGCGTGCCAGCGCCGGCACACGGCCGTCCCCGTGCCCACGGGACACCCGCCCGGGGCTCCTCTGGCACCGCCATCGCAGCCCCCTGGCAGGGACCAAGCAGGTCCTTGTCCCTAGGGACGGGCTCCCAGAGACCCTCAGGGTTTGGCTCTCCGGCCGTGTCCCTGCGCCCTCGGGCTGGGTGAGCAAACCAGGGAAGATTTTGGGGAGCTCTGCTCCTGTCCAGCCACATCTGAGCCATCCCAGTTAACACGTGAGCCAGCACCTCCCCAGCCTCATCCCAGGGGACATGAGCCCACAGTGCCACACAGATCAGGATCAGCCCGGTGCTCCACATGGATGAGACCGGACCAGCTGCAAGAGCTCCTGGGTTTGTCCTGCTCGGCAGCTCCAGAGCTCTGCTGCTGCTGCCTCGTTCAGGCATTCAGGAGCCCCCCAGGAGGCAGGATCCCATTCAGGAGCCCCCCAGGAGGCAGGATCCGAACCTGCGCAGGGACAACGCTGACTTTCCAAGAAATGCGGCCGCTGCACATTCCCATGGAAATTCCAGCCGAAGGGAGCCCGCGGCTGCTGCGCTGGGTGATCCGGCAGCACCATCTAGTGGGGCTGCTCCCTGCATCCTGCCCGGGCCCCGCAGCCCCTCACAGCCCAGGTGAGATGCTCCTCCATCCCACCCGGGATCACCCCCACGCAGCTTCATCCACCTCCCACATCGGCTGTGCCCTCCCAACCACAACGGGGCAGGAATATCATGGCATCCACGTGCCAGGAACACAGGCAGGGAACACCTCAGCTCCCCACAGACCCCCCCAGCACCACACCAGCACCCCCCGGGAGTGGGGCTCAGCAGCATCTCCAACTCATGGGACAACAATCCCCCCAGGAGCAGTGGGAATCCACTCCCAGGGCAACCATCCCCCTCAGAGCAGTGGGAATCAATCCATGGAGCAACCATCCCCTGGGAGTGGGCTGTGCCGTGACACTGCAGGGCAAGAGCATCCCTGTGGCCCCAAGGGCCAGGGCACCACCAGCCCATCCCTACGACCAACAGCCCCCTCCCCCTGCGGCTCCTTCCCTTCTCCTTTCACCTTCTCCCACCCCAGGCCTGCCGGAGATCCCGGTGTGCACCCAGCTGGTCATGCACCACAAACCCCCTGGGGTTTGTCCAAGCCCATGGAGAGACCAGATCAGGAGCTGGGTACCCGCCCTCCACCCCCAACCCCGGACTGTCCCTTCCCAGCCCCACCTGCCTCTTCCTGCTGCTCACCTTGGCCACAAACTGCTTGTCCTTCTGATCCAGGTTTGCCGTGGGGGCCACGTAGTCCCTCCAGATCCTCAGCTTGCGCTCTTTGGCGAACCTGCAGGGGAGGGGACAGTGGGACACGGGGGTCCAGCAGGGACGGGGGTGACATTTCCCAGCAAAGCCCTGGCTGGGGCAGCGGAGCTGGAGAGGACTCACAAGGGGAGATCACATCAATCCCACCCTGGAGAGCACCGGGTGACCCCCCCGAGGCTGGGAAGGCCCCCTGGGAGCAGGTGGGAGTTGCCCTCCAGCCCCCAGCCCAGCCCCACCTCTCGGCCGCGCGCAGCTTGTCGGCCCCGCGGGTGTACACGGCGATGGACCAGTCCACGCAGCGGGCAAAGCCCTCCTTCAGCAGCAGCTCCGTGATGTTCCCGTTCTGGGGAGGAGGCACAGGGTCAGCACCAGGAATGTGGCGTTAGACACCCACTCCCATCCCTGCCCCGCTGCGAGGGGGGAGCTCGCCCACCCTGTGCAGCCCCTTCTACATCACCGGTCCCCAAAGCCCCTGTGAAGTCTGACCACAGCTCCCAGTGCTAGTGGAGAGCACCCCAGTGACACCCACAGGCCTCAGCTCTCCTCAGATGGACCAGAGTCTCCCACATCCACCAGGAAAGAGCCCACGACCCCCAGTTCCCCCACGGGGAGCACCAGGAGCAACCCCCTTTAGCATCTCCAGCAGCGATGCCTGACCAGGACCCTGCCCCTGCCCGGCCCCCCAGCCCCACTTGCCGGGTGCAGGATGGTGCCCAGGATGTTCTGGTTGTGGCAGCTCTCCAGGACAATCTGCACATCCCTCTGCAGCAGCCGGGACTCCGTGAAGAACTTGGCCTCAGCCGCAAACGGCTCCGGGACCTCGGGAGCGTCGGCCTCGCGCTTGAACGTGGGGCACTGGGGCACAGGGGACAGTCAGGGCATGGGGGGACAGGCAGGGCACAGGGGACAGTCAGGGCATGGGGGGGACAGTCAGGGCACAGGGGGACAGTCAGGGCACAGGGGGGACAGTCAGGGCATGGGGGGGACAGTCAGGGCATGGGGGGGACAGTCAGGGCATGGGGGACAGGCAGGGCACGGGGGACAGTCAGGGCACAGGGGGGACAGGCAGGGCACAGGATGGCCACTAAAACCTCGGGAAGGGGACGGGAAACCTCCCTGGGGAGGGGACTGCACTCTGCCCCGTGCTCAGGGTGTAGTTTGGGGGCTGTGATCAGGGTCTGTGTCCCAATGCTCTGAGCTGTGTTCCACTGACAGCCCTGCAACCGCCCCAGCAAACACGGCCGGCAGCAAACTGGGATACAGGGACCAGCTCCAGCTCTGGGGTGCCAGGATAAGGATGTGGAGGTGCTGGAGGAGTGCAGAGGAGGCCATGGGGATGCTCCCAGGGCTGGAGCCCCTCTGCTCTGGAGCCAGGCTGGGAGAGCTGGGGGGGTTCCCTGGAGAAGAGAAGGCTCCAGGGAGAGCTGAGAGCCCCTTGCAGGGACTAAAGGGGCTCCAGGAGAGCTGGAGAGGGACTGGGGACAAGGCATGGAGGGACAGGACACAGGGAATGGCTTCCCAGTGCCAGAGGGCAGGGAGAAATGGGATATGGGGAAGGAATTGCTGGCTGGGAGGGTGGGGAGGCCCTGGCCCAGGTTGCCCAGAGAAGCTGTGGCTGCCCCTGGATCCCTGGAAGTGTCCAAGGCCAGGTTGGACAGGGCTTGGAGCAGGTCTAGTGGAAGGTGTCCCTGCCCACAGCAGGGGGTGGTACTGGATGGGCTTTGAGGTCCCTTCCCACCCAACCCATTCCATGATTCCATGAACTCCCAGCATAATCACAACCAGGGTCCCCAACAGCCCAGAGCTTGGGCTCTGCCCAGCCTGGCAGCACAGAGCCAGACCCCACCCTACCCAAACTGTCCCCACCCCCATGGTGACACCCAGGGCTGCAATGAACAAGGATGTCCCTCCCTCCCTCCCTCCCTGCTCCAGCCCCGTGAGCTGGGCAGCCACAGGGACCCGAGCAGCCCCTGCCCTCCTGCCAGGACACGGAGCAATTGCAGAGAGAACGTGCTGCAGGGCGGGCAGCAGGGCCCTGCCAGGGCCGGGGCTCACCTTGATGCCCGAGAGCATGACGGTGACCAGGTAGTAGTCTGGCAGCAGCAGGGCCCTCACCACGCTGCCGTCCCGCACGTGCTCGATGATGGCTGCGGAGCGAGGCACGCGTCAGTCCCGCCGTGCCCAGAGCCCGCTGTGCCCGGAGCCCGGGGGTGTGGGAACAGCTCCAGGCACAGGCAGCTGGTCCCGACACCACGGGCAGCAGAGGGTGGAGGACACGGTGCCCCCGTGCCCTCCTCTCCGGTGCCGCCTTACCATTGACTGGTTTCTGGTGCAGGGAGTCCACGAAGTGCCGGGGGTTCTCGATGGTGTACTTGAGGTCCCGCACGGTGTGGGACCCCGTGCCCTCGCTCCACATCCCCTTCTTGGCGCTCTTGGCCTGCTCCTCCAGCTCTGCCAGCCGGCTCTGCTCGGGGCTGAGGGCACAGGGACACGGAGTGAGGCTCCCGCGGGGTCTATCTCGGGAACATCCATCTCCCGGGTGCTTTTCCGGGTGCTTCCGTGCCCTGATCGCTCCCAGCCCCACTGCCCGGGTGAGCAGTGACACACCGGGAATCACGCCGGGAATCACACTGGGAATCACACTGGGATCCTCCGGCACCATCCGTGTGGGAACAGGGACCAGGAGCACCATCTCCCACACACTGAGGAGACCGAGCCCATGGGAACCTTCCCGAGGCTGCCTTTGAGCGCCACGATGGAAAAGCAGCAGCATTCCCAACCCCCAGCAGGGCAGGGCAGGTTCAGGAGAGGGGGGACGGCAAACCCGGGCACGTGTTGTGCCAGCCCACGGACCAGCCCAGTCCTGCACACACAGGTGGCCACCAAAGGGCCACCAAAGGGCCACCAAAGCGGCAACTGTCCCCTCCCAGTGTTGACACCAGCCCTGCCACGCGCTGTCACAACAAATTCAGGGATATTTAACAGGTTGCCCAGAGAAGCTGTGGCTTCCCCTGGATCCCTGGAAGTGTCCAAGGCCAGGCTGGATGGAACTTGGAGCAACCTGGGCTGGTGGAAGGTGTCCCTGCCCATGGCAGGGGTGGCACTGGATGAGCTTTAAGGTCCCTTCAACCCAAACCATCCTGGGGTTCCCTGATCCTACAAACGAGGCTGGCCCTGCCCTGGAACTGACCCACACCTCTGGAATGGGAGGACAAGGGGCAGGAATGTCACCACCACCTCTGCAGCAGGAATTAAAGCCCCTCAACTCCACTCCAGGTGTGACTGTACAGAGACCAAGAGCTCCAGAAGATTCCCTGCTCCGCAGCCCCGGGACACAGCTCTGGCCCTTTGGCATCCCAGGAAAGGAGCCAGTTGGGTCCTCCTGCCCAGCCCCTTCACATGCCAACCCCATTGGGACACTGTGACCCTGGGAATGCCCGTGGAACCCGGGCACCACAGGGAGCTGGGCAGCAGGGTCTGGTGCCAGGCCAAAGTCGAGGGACCCAAGGGCTCCATGCCTGGAGAACCTCGGGATGAGAGAACCTCGGGATGAGAGAACCTCGGGATGGGAGAACCTTGGGATGGGAGAACCTCGGGACGGGAGAACCTCGGGATGGGAGAACCTCGGGATGGGAGAACCTCGGGA